ATTATTTATGAGGGTCTCAAGGGTTTATTCGCTTAAGGGTGTCACAACCTACCACAAATCAGCTTTTGTACAGGACCAATACCTCTACAATTACCTTGTATATTTGCATCTATATCTAACATTACAAAAGCAGGATGTAAATGTCCTAACATGGACCAATAAATCTTTCCATAAAGTGAGATTTAGGATTAAAAGAAAGAAACCTGTCATAAGATGAATATCTAGGCTGCCATTGCCAACCAATCCATCTAAAAAAGCATATTGCCTGGCTGTTATGCTGATGCCTTGGTTTCAGTGCTCTCTGAGTCTCTGACCCAGAACAAGTAAAGAGATAAGGATGGTAGAATTTTCTCCGACCTATGTGCTGCATGTTTGTTTTCTGGGTAAGTGATTTCAAAGTATTAAAGTTCCTGTATTTCTCAGGTGAAATGTGGTTTTTGGAGCCTCCACACACCTGTTAGTGTTTGGGGAGACTACTAATGTCTTCTTATCACTGGAATAGCATGAGGCGATCCTAACTCCCATCAAGAAGTGGTGGTCAACTCAGTAAATATAAAGGGCCTCAAGTGTGGCCCATGACATGTCCGATGGGCCACGCAATAGCTTTGTTTTGGTAAACTTGCTATGCACCCCCAGAGCTGTGTCCATGCAACCTGGGTCCTCAGGAAATGGGTCAGATGATGCTGGCCTCATTCAGGCTAGGTTCACACATGCACCACACTCGGGATTTCAATGGGGCTGACGTACCTTTTTTTGTGACACACGACATGCTGCTTTTTTAGTGTTCACCCAACGCGACTCGGGTGCCATTCGAAAATAATGGCACCCACAGCGCGATCGCCTGCAGTGGGCAACTCCATGACCATGCGATAATCCATGCAATTTTGTGCACGATTGCTGCACGGTCAGGAGTCACCCAGGTGTGAACCTAGCCTCAAGCTGGAAAATGAGCAGCACCAAACCTTGGAGCAGTAAGTCTGTGGGAAACAGCCCCAGGGGTAAGGTGAGTATTACAGCAAAAGTTGCGTTTTTTTTTACTTTTAAAATGTAAGGCAGCATATTTAAAGCTAACTTTAAGCAGACTTTTTTTTTTTTTTACAAATTAATAAGGCGAAACGTGTTGTGTCCCACAGCATCTACTCAGAGTTTACGTTTTATTCCCACTTGTACCGTAGTAGAAATGTGGACTCTTGTTGGCAGTTGTGTGGCAACATAGTTGGTCTAAGTCAATTCTATTAAAAGGTTGTGAATGGTCTCAAATACATTAACCACTTGAAGTCCGGGGTGTTAAACCCCCTTTCTGGCCAGGCCATTTTTCAGTATTCAGCGCTGCGGTACTTTGACTGACATTTATTACATCATGCAATGCTGTACTGAAATTAGTTTTATAACATTTTTTGGGGACAGATAGAGCTTTCTTTTGGTGGTATTTAATCACTATATTAAGGAAACATTACCAACATTAAAAAAACAAAAAACTGTTTTCCCTATATTAAATTATAAAACATTTATCATTACCCAATTTTTTGGTAAAATATAAAAGACGGGGTCCCGTCGGGTAAAAAGACACCAAACATGTCAAGCCTTAAGATTGCGCGCGCAAAACCTCAAAAAACTACAATACCAAAAATTGGCCATAGGCGATGCTTTAAAAGCTTTTACCCCTCATCAGTTTAGTGTTATCAGTGATTGATGACCCTAAAATTATTGCACACACTCTGACGTTCGTGGCAATATGTAACATGTGTAGTGCAATTGTCTTTTACGCGCGCTTGCGCACCGGACGCGTATTTACATTTATATGTGCGGAAACGTGGGGGTGGGGGACTTAAAGATTTTTTGGTTTTTTTTTTTACTTTTTAAACTTTTTTTATATGTGACTTTTTTTAAAACTCTTTTTATGTTTTTTTACACAGGTCCTCTTTATGCAGACATTAGGGGTCTCTAAGACTCTCTACCATATTACCTCCTGACACCCTCCCGAGCCGGTCCCGGGCCGCAGATGGGGTAGCGGATCCCGGGATTGAAGGTTCTTTACATCGGACGGGTTTTGTCTGACCGTGCACGTGCGCTAGCAGAAAAAAAATGCCGTCTAGTTAGGGCAACCCGCCAATCTGACTTTGCCGCCCGTCTGTTTTTTTGCAACGGGCGGACGGCAAGTGGTTAAGGGCTTGTTCACACCATATACAGTGCGTTCCAGCACGATTCGCTGCTGGAATCACATCCTGGCCGGCTCCCTGCATTCTGGGGCAGTGCATTGAAGGCAGCCGAGTGAATAACCGAGCCGAAGTGAAGTGAGTCGAACGCTGTTCACTTCAGCCTTGTACGGCTGATTTTAGCCATACATCGGCTAAATTCAACCGTACTTCAGCTGCCTTTGGATTGGCTGAGCCAAAGCTCCGGCAGCTCACTCACTGCCAATCGCCCCTATTCTCATAGGGGCTGAACAACAACAAGTGAATAGCCGAATGAGTGAAAAGAGTAAAAAATATTTTGAAAATGTAAATAACTAGTAAAACTAAAAAATAAATAAAGATATTAAAAAAAATAAAAAAAGAAACGTAATTGGGAGGAGCTAACAGTGACAGCCCAACTCTGCCCAACTGTTTCCTATTGGCTGGCACCTGCTAGTGTCTTAAATAACAACTGGGTGGAGCCGGCCATGACGTCACGGTCAGCTCCACCCAGTTGTTATTGTTTCATGACAGATCAACGTCCCCAGGTCATTTGTGGACGCTGATCTGTCATTACAACTGGGCGGAGGCAGCTGTGAGATCACGGCTGGTTCCACCCAGCTGGCATTTGCTGGGCGAACAGACAGCCCCTAGCCGGCCGTTCCCCCCGCTTCGGCTGTCACTTCGGCTCATTCGAGCTGAAGCACATTCCTTCGGCTCGGCTGAGCCGCTTGGCTCCTGTACGGGCTATTGTGAAGCGAAGGGCTCCGGCGGCCAAAGAGATTTGAAGGATCACCTGAAGCTACCGCTGGATCCTTCGGCTCTTTAGTGAATAACCCTGTAAATGTTGCTGTTGTGCTTTATATGTTTGTGTACACGCAGTCCATCCTTCCCTACAAACTGTGTTACTCAGTCTCATATTTATAGGTATTAGGCAACTAAAGCTAACGTGGAAACACCTTGCCCATTTATACTGTACAGTATGTAGGCTGCCTTTGCCTGGGATAGGATTTGGCTTCCTGTGCAAACAGAAACAAGTTTCTCTAGTGCAGGTGCATTGGATTATTTTACCAGGCTGCTGGTATTACATCGGGGTGAAACTGCATGTGAGGAATGGCTTTGTTTAGATTGTGAATTATTCTGAACTTCTTACATTTAGAAACACTCCTTTTTGTGCTTTTAGCAGTTTAAAAAAATGCACAGTAATGCACAGTTCAGGTTAAATGTGTGCATTAGGTCATGCAATGGGCTCACTTTACAAAGCTTTTATTGGAGTTTGGGGATGTTTGTTATAGTTTGATCCCTGTGCAAAATAAAACCTATTAAGTGTGTGTCCAGTCACATGTTTTTAGCTTTGGATAGTGTAGAGAAGAATTAATGAGGTGTTCACTGCTGTCTGGGGCTTCATACTAATTTTTTTCCCCTTCCTCGCAGTCATGGCAACAACAGGTTCACCAGACAGGAAGTGAGGGAAAAATCTCCAAAAGCAACACAGACAGAAATAAATATTTTTGTTAGCAGAGTAGGAGAATGCTGGAACCCCTGTAAGCTTTTTATTTCCGTGTGTTTCCTGTTGAAGATTTTCTCTCACGTCCTCCTTTAGTGAAACCATTTTCACTGTGACAATGGCAATCTAAAACATAAAGCAGGTTTTGGCTGCACATACACCTTACGTTTTCAGATTCTGGTGTAAAAACTTTGAGCATCTTTTTACTTCTTCAGGTCATGCATGCTTTAAAGTAGATCTAAACCCAACCTCTAAAATCTCATATAAGCGTTAACAAGTTATTACAATTCCAAAAATCATCATTTCACTACTTTTTAATCTTTATTTTTAAGTAATAAAATATTTGATGGTCTTGCCATGAAATGTTCAGGCACTTCCTGTTATAAGAAGACAGTTGTCTCCCAAATGTGTTCTTGCGTTGTCAGCCTGACTTACATTGTGCAAGCATGCATCACTAACAGGAAGCCTGCCCAGATCCAACACTTACAACTGTACCTTATTTAAAGGGACTGACCCTTGTTTGGAACCAAGTCTGATGTATAGACCAAGTAAAAAAAAGTATTGACAGTATTTTGCTGCACTAAACTTTTCACCCAACGTCTGTATTATTGCATGTTGTTATGAAAACCCAGTAGAAAGGAAAGGCAGTGGTAAAAAAGTGACTTGTAGGTTTAACCAATCTTTTTTTTAGTTTTGGCATCATCTGAAATTTCCTGTGTGGGAACTTTTAGCCTGAGGTTTCCTTGTAAGCAAAAAAAAAAGTAATGCAAGATGAAGTGTATCTAAGGAGTAGGAAATGGTAAAAAAAAGTGAGGGGAATTTATCAAAACTGGAGCAGACAAAATCTGGAGCAATTTCCCAGGGCAACCAATCGGCTTCTCTCTTCAGTTTGTTCAGTTAAGATTTGAAAATGAAACAGAGAAGCTGATTGCTCGCCACGCACAGCTGCTCCATATTTTGTCTGCTCCAGTTTTGATGAATTCCCCTCAGTGTCATTTGGAATACTAACCTTTATGTCTAGCCCTGTCCATGAATTAAGAGAAAATTCCTTCTTAGCTAATTCTCACTGGAACAAGTGGTGTCCCCTTTGGAAAATGTCCCCTTTATTCCTGAATAAGTCATTAAAAATCAAGCCACCTGTTTTTGAATCAATCCTTTTTGCTTTAAGTAACCATCAGTATCAAAACTGATATAAAATGCACACAAATTATGCAATAGCTACAGATTATTTACAAAAATTTTTTTGTAATAATTGAAGTAGAAGCTCAGTGTACTATGTTTCTGTAAGTAAAACTGTTCCAATTTCTGTCTCATTCTAGTGGCTCATCATGACATGGATAATACATTTAACTGCAGCTTTATTGAACCACCATCTGTTGTTGAACAGCCATCCCCTTCATGGTCATCCCGTGGTTCCTTTTCATCTTTTGACACCACAGATGATGGACCAGTGTACTGTGTTCCCCATGAGGGTGAGTAAGACAAACACTTCCAGGATATAACTGTAGGATATATTATTGCAAGCCATGTGTGATAGAAATCTCACATTTGCATTCACTATTTAGAATATAGTTGGAGGCATGTGCTGTGAGAGAAATGGACTGTTGCGCAGTGAATTTGGTTTTTAGATAATTACTTCAGCTTTTATTCTATCAGTGCTTGCATAATGGCTACATGGCACATGTTTATGCATTATGGGTCAAAAATACTGTGAAAAGATATCAGGCCACAGATGCTTACTTCTTACGGAAAGCATACAAAGGCGGAAAGCATACAATCCTTGCTGTTATGTATACTAATGCAGAATGGCATCCAGGTTATACAATGTAAAAAAAACTGCAGGAAAGAAACATTATCTGTGAAGCAGCAAGTTGGATACTAGTTATCACCTCAAATACATGTTAGGAAAGTACATTTTGGGCATGTTTGGTCATTGTGGGCAGTCCCAAAAATCCATCTCAAAGCTGAGTAGAGGGTCAGCTTCTGGGAATCTTCTTACATCAGAGCAGAAAGGCTGTGGACTGAAACTAACCCATTATTCTATCATCCATAGCGTGTTTACAATATTAGGGTCATTTAATAAAAGCTCACATCAATGTAATATCACTATCAAGCTGATATTACATTTTTAAATTGATGAAAGAGTGTTGTAGTTCTGGCTACAACCTTGTTTCTTGCTGGTACAAAGCTGTCCAATCTTGGACTAGAGTGGGAGTCTAAAGATTTCTGGTGTCTTCATAAAGAACACTAGTCACTACTGTCCTGTGATAATGGCAAATAGAAAAAAGTAAACATGTTTATATATAAAATAATTACTAAATTAAACACATAGGGGTCTATTCACTAAGTTGCCGTAGGCAGCCGGGTGAAAGACCGATCTGAAGTGAAGTGAGCCGAACACTGTTCGGCTATTCACTTCAGGCTGGTACGGCTGATTTCAGCTGTATATCGGCTTGCTTCGCGTGGCTTCGGGTCGGCCGAACATGCTCAGCATGTTCGGCCGACCCGAAGTGCA